GTTAAAATAAAAATATTACAAATTTAAGAAGCCGATGTTTTTATAAAATACGTATGTCGTTGCTTGATTCATAAGTATATATGAGTACCTAATTATAATAAAATAAAAGTTCACCTACATACTTGGTTAGTAGATGTACTTTAATAATCCAAAAAAATGGAAAAACTAATGACTGAACTAGTGATAAATAAATAAATAAACAATTCACCAACAATCATAACACAACACACAACCTCACTTTCTTACAGCTGGTTTTAGACCCGACGTACGTCCACCGAAAACAGACACTTTTAATTAAAATCATTTGTATTTTTAATTCATAGGTCTAAAAAAACAATTAGAGCATAAATTATAGAGAAATATGTTTAAAATTTGACGTATAATAGGTTCAAATACTAAGAAATTCCCAGAACGCAAGATATTCCCGTCTGAAAATCACTCTTTTGAATCCCCCATAAGAAATACATTGCTGTCAAATTTGTTGAAATGTGTTTAGGAACCCATTTTAAATTTGGCGCCCGATTTTTCCTAACCTAACTAATATGGTGAATTGGTTGAAAATTGTCAGGAAACTGGTTGTTGGCGATTTGGACCAATCAAAAACGCTCTGACTGGTTTGTGATTTCTGTGGAAACAGACCTAATGTGTTAGGTATATTCAGTATTTTTATCTTTCTTTTACACATTACTCGGATTGAGCAGTTGTACAGGGTGTCTTATTTTGGTCGTAGGTACATATACATAAGGGATATCTCTGTTGCTATTATTAAAATTAGAAGGATGCGGCTTTCGCGAACGTTGGCTACTTTTTTGTCAAACGAAAGTTGCCGTCAACAAACTTGTCATCGCCCTTTTTGTTCTTCAGTTACAAGGTGTTTATGAAAATGTTGCATTTTGGGACATCCCTTTTATCTCGGTCTTCTCATAAGTGTTCCAAAAGGTGACAACGAGTTCTTATAGATCTTTTTACGGAGATTCCAATGGCGAAGTCCGATTTTCTCTAGAAGTGAGTTTTTCAATTATCTACCAAACATAGGTACGTTTTTTCAAATGAGACGCACTGTATGTTAAAAACTTATCGGATAGTTCTGCATTTGCTGATTTCAATAATATAAAGTTCGATAGGTCTGTCTCTATTATGTCTGTTTCTGTTATGAACAACAATGTGTTTGAAAAGAAGTTTAAATCTAAAAGGAAAATGATAAAGGCCTCATAAACTATCACTTCTAGAGAAAAACTGACTACGCCACTGGAATTTACATAAAAAGATCTATAAGAATCTATTGTCACCCGAGTTGCCATTTGATCAATTAGAACTGAAATACCAAGGGCTGTCCCAAAATACAACATTTTCACAAAAACCGTATCCTCCTAATTATCTCTTATGTACAACGAATGGGACACCCTATACAGGGTGGCGCAGAGGAAACGCATGTTTTTCAAGTAGGTACCTATGAGCATAACATTTTTAATTTTCAAATATTTCCATTACAGCTAAATGAAGTAATAATAGTGTGCTTTTAAATTAATGATGGAAAATAATGTCAGTCAAGTGTCACCCTGCTTTGTGGGCGCCAATGGTGGGCGCACATCTCCAACCGCTCTTGAAAGTTGTGCATCACACTTGAAACATGCATTTTCTCTGCGCCACCTATGGAATTGAAATTTTTTAAATATATACCAGGTGTTTGAATTTGAAAAAATCATCTTACATAGTGACAGACAAAAGTTTCAATTATTGATACAGGAAGATGATGACGAATAAAAAAAAAAATTGTTGTGAGATAGATATATAAGTACTTGGATTCAAATTCGGATTTTATTTCCTTGGAAATGTTGTTAATTTTTTGTGACTCAAACGTTGATAGTGTAAATGGATTGGACATTGGACCATATATAATATATTTTTTCTACAACGTTCAGGTCTAGATTTTTAGGCCATCTAAAGACTTCTAAAAAAGTTATCTGACATTCTCTACTTTTGTCAATTTTCCATTGTGGTATTTGTTAGAGTAGGCAACTGCATATTACCAATCTACTTCAAGTTCTTCAAGCTGCTGTTCTGCTTAGTCTACATTTTGTACTTTTTACAGATTAGCTTTTCTTGCAGTTTTAGTATTTTTTAAGTTTATTTTTTTTCTTAGTTTTTACTATTTTTCTCTCTATATTTTTTCTCTATTTTTTTATTACTTCTTTCATTGTGTTTATTTGTTTTGTTGTCTCTTTTTTTGCCATCTTTCCTCCTCACCCTTAGTAATTTCCCATATTTTTCTGAAAACAGCCAACATAAAAAAGTTTTCCTTACTTTTAGTAGTTTCTTATTTTTCCATATTACCTACTTGCATTAAGGGTGAATTCTTTTTGGTTTTTCTGTTAAACTTTTTGGCTTTTCATTGATACTTAATTCTTTAAATCAAGATTGTTAATTTATTGTCAACTCAAAAAAGTAAAGAAACTTAGGTCCTTCTCGATATGCATTGATTTTTCCTCAGATATTTATGCTTGTTTTATGGTTTATGGGTATTCCCCTTAGTATTTCCCTATTCAGTACGATGGAGTTCAGAAATCTATGCTGCAGTAGGTGGCATACAAAAGTTAGCTAATCAAGAGGGCTTATTATTACGGGCAAAAATAAAGTAAATTAAACTATTTGGAGCCAGTTTTTCAATAACGAGTCACCTTCGGGTTGGTTTTAACTCCAGGGTAAGCATGTCCAGTTGCAATGTTTATCCTGGGTCCTTATTCTCGAAACCGAGGAACAACGTTCTCAGGAGAACGAAGGTTTTATCTTTGTCAGTGTTATGGAAACATGAACATAGGCAACGAAGACAGAACCATCGTTCTCATGAGAATGCTGCTCCCCTGTTTCGAGAATAAGGACCCTGGAGTTATGCTCAACCTGAAGGGTGAGTTTCTATTGAGAAACCGGCTCTTGGAGGAACTCCACATGCGACTGATGGTGGTAGATTGTGTTGCGATTGTGAGATATTGTGCAACGATTGTGGGAGATTGAGACATGATTGTGAGAGATTGTGACACGATTGTGAGAGATTGTGTAACGATTGTGACAGATTGTAACAGATTGTGTTAGATTGTGTAACGATTGTGACAGACTGTGAATGATTGTGATCCGATTGTGAATGATTTTGTGAAGATTGTGGATTGTGAGAAATATCTACACCGACTGCAAGAGCTTTTCACTCCTCGAAAAATATACATTCATGCATACGCTCTTCTGCAGTCCATACATTCTCATGCAGTCAATGGAACACCATGGACTCATGTAGTCATAATACAGTCGCATGCATTCATAATACAGTCGCTTGCAATCATTATAAACTATGTGCAGTCCGAGCTGCAGTCACATGCACTAGCGTACATTCCATATACACTCGCAAAAAATCGTAAGCAGTCGCTGCAAGAGGAGCTTGCAATCTTGTCAGAAATTGCTCAAAAGTCAATGCAGTCAACTATCATCTTTGATGCAATCAATGCAGTCAAATACAGTGGGTACAAAATTTAGTGGGTGAACCAAAAAAAATCCAATTTTTGGCTCAGGAAAATTTTCAAAATCTTGATACAATTGCCCATGTCTTTGTTAAATTTCAAACAAATTGAAATAAATTATATACCATTGGGAAGAGCATTAAATTTTCTATAAATCTGTGCAAAATTGGGTTCTATAGCTCAAATCGTTTTTGAGCAATTGAGCCTCAAAGTTGACTTTTAGTCCCAATTTTCTCAAAAATTTCAAACTCAATTTGCTTAAACTACTTCCCAAAATATTGATAAAATATATTTACATTTATTGGGTGTCGCAATTTCTATGTCCTGATTTTCGTTTATTTTTAGTAGTACATAGTTGATCCGAGAGTTGATCTTTTAAATTGTAACGCGTAAATGTTAAGTCTTACCCTCTGCCTTACATGAAGTCTGAAGCCTAATTTTTTTCTTTAACTTTTTTTCTCCAAACAATCACCATATTATATTGTAGGGACTTTTTGATTGAAAATGATCTCCATCACGTCTTTGAGTTTGGACCATGACTTATGAGACACCCTGTATAGAGTATATATTTTTTTTTTGTATACCGACCTTACTTATAATGAATTTGTACCTTCTTTTTTTTTGAGTTTTGCTAAATAAACTATCTTTTATGTGTTGGGAGTCAGTGTCGGTAAGGGTATATCTCGGGGAATATATAGGAGCGCCACTGAGTAGGTAGGGATTATTGACCTATTTTTTCCTCGAAATTCCGACAGTTCTCTCCCCTTTTCTAACAGGGTATTTTTGGGATCAATGCTACCCTATAATAAATTTAAAGGCATGTTTCAAGGCTTTGTACTCAAACACATGCCATGCCATAAGGTATTTGTACAATTCGGAGGTTGATAATATTTAGTTAAACAAATGATAACAAGCACAGTAAATTCCACAAATTGACATAAATATATTTTAATCATAAATTTATTTTTCGAGTGGTTTCTTATAGAAATTCAAGGAATTTTTGTATAATTATTATGCACACACATTACGCGCTTTCATGTAATCTCTCGCAAATGAAATTGGGGTAACGTTAACGTTTTATAGTAGTGAACAGTGACCCCAATAATGAAAATATTTGAAATTCTTTTAGTAGCAATTATTTATTGACAAAATAAAAAAATTCTAGGCCACTATGATAGAATTTATTATGAGCGGACAGGGAAAAAAAAAACCATCACCTTTGTAAATGTAATCACTTAATTTTTATTTTATTCAATTATTTATTGTTTGATTTTAAAAATCAACCGGATATTATGTATTTAGGTAGAAAAAAATACATACCTATGAAATAAATGAATCTAAAATTAAAACAAAAACATACTTTACCTATTAATAACTTCGTACCACAATAACCGCCGATAACACAACAAAATATAGACGATTTTATAAAGCAATAGGGTTTCCACCCCTAAAATCAATACCGAGTTTGATGAATAAAAATGTCTAAAAACTCACCTTTTTTTATTAAACAACTAATTGTTTATTGAAAATAAATAAAATAAACACACCGACGCCGTATATTTTCCTTTTGAACGTCCAATTATTATTATTTTTTTTCCAGTCTATCTATGCCGCACTAAACACCAAACTTGTGAAAGAATTTGACATTTCGGTCGAAACCGGATGGAATGCGAGGTATGTCAAATATTTACATTGGGTCCTCTATGAGAAAACCTCTCAACTAAAACGGCCTAATATGCACGAGCCGAGGGTATTTTTTTACATTTGAAATTTGTTCGAAATTTGCCACAAAATCAAAAAAGCCGAACAACAATGTAATCAAAATGATTCAAAGAAGCCGTTGAGCATTGCATGTATAGTCTGGTTGAAATAAGATCCTTAATCGAAAGAATCCCGCTCGAATAGACAGTGTTGTTACCGCTCCCTCTCTGTTGATTGGTAGGAATCGCTCGTCTGTCGGAATATACTTGCTTGGTGGTCGATAGACAAGTAATTTTGACTGTACGCTGTACGCATCAAGTCTCCTTGTTCTTATCGAATTTCCAGTGAGCGGCGATTTTTGTGATGGCTGATTATCAAAAAAACGTGGCAAAATTCCTTATCGATAACCAGCCGCGAGGTATTCAAAGTCAAAGATCAAAAATGGTCTTTTTACGCAAATCTCGCTTCAAATTCAAAGATCAAAAATGGTCGTCGATAAAACGTCATATAGACGTCGAAAACGGACGTTTCAAAAAAGTCCTAATGCGAACAGTGGAAAAAAAAAACGTTTGAATGTCGACTGTGCTTCCTCCTTTAAAATATCAAAGAACGCCCAGTAGACGTTTTTCTTTAGTGCAAATGTCACAGCTTCAAACGTCATATGGACGTTTTAAAAAAGCCAGGAGGCGTTATTGGCATTTGAAATCTGTTAGTTCTGTACTCTGATTTGCTAATTTTTAAAATTCTCGATATTTTGCGAATTCTTAGAATTAACCCATAACGACTCAAAACCTGAAAAATAGACAACCAGATAATATAAAACGCAAAATATCAAAAAACTAAAACATTCGGATTGTAGATAATCGATCAAAGAATGTTTATGCCAAATTTGAGCCAATTCTGATGTAAGTTTTTTTATTCTCTTTGCAAACCGCAGCTTGGATAAATCAACACAGAACTGACAGATTTCTCTGTCATTAACACCTCCTCAACACAAACTCTCAAAAAGCTTTTAAAAAAGTCGTTTTTCAAAATGAATGTTCTACAAAGATCTTTTATAATACATATTATTATTATTTTTCACTTCTTTTGGGATTATATTTATATTTTTGGAACAGGATAACAAGTCGATCTAGGGTTCATATTGGTGTTACTATGTATTTGGAATTTAGTGGAGTCAGTGGCGCAGCCAGAAATTTGGTCTGGGGGGGGGGGGGCGAGGGATTATTCACTAAGGGAAAAATGTGACAAGATTTCGGATTTAGAGCGATTTTGAAAGATTTCGGGTGATTTCGGAGGATTTCGGTTGGATTTCGGAAAGATTTCGAGGGATTATTCACTGACAAGATTTCAGATTTAGAGCGATTTTAAGAGATTTCGGTTGATTTCGAAGGATTTCTGGTGATTTCGATGGATTTCGGGTGATTTCGAAGGATTTCGGGTGATTTCGAAGGATTTCGGGTGATTTCGAAGGATTTCGGGTGATTTCGAAGGATTTCGGGTGATTTCGAAGGATTTCGGGTGATTTCGAAGGATTTCGGGTGATTTCGGAGCATTTCAGGTGACTTCGCAAATATTTTAATTTGATATTAGACTGTTACTTATCTTATATGTATATTCGAAAGTGTATTAGTATAAACTGAAAAACGGCCGCGTTGACCAATTTATGAATTTTGGGCCAATTTGCGAGGGATTTTTGGGTCTGCGGAAAGATTTCGAGAGATTTCGGAGGGATTTCGGCGGATTTTGGAGTGATTTTGTGGATTTCGGAAGGATTTTGGGGATTTCGGTAGGATTTTGGAAAGATTTCGGTGATTTCGGACGAATTTGTGACGGGGAATATAGGAAAAAACACAGATTTCCTTTCCTTTAAACTTTCTCTGATATGAGCAGTTTACAGCTTTCGTCTACTTTGTTATTTTTCTCTGGGGCCTTGGGGGGGGGGGGGCCGGGCCCCCTGGCCCCCCCCTGGCTGCGCCACTGAGTGGCCTAAAATCAAAATGAAATTATGACTTTGAGTGATTCCGAGGTATAACTAGATGAAACCTATATCATCTTGTAGAGGACACTTTGGAGCAAAGGAAATATGGATGTACAATTTTTTTTAATAGGACCGGACTTTGAAATCGGCCCTGAAACGTGACTGAGCTCGAATTTGAAAAACTACATTTGTCTAAACATCACCCCTTGTATTAATTTAAGCATACAATCAAAAATTCTGATTTTTTGCACACTTATACTTGAAATATGAGCGCTTCTAATGACAATTCAGAAATTTCGAAAAAGTTCAAAGTTTTTTTTTTAGGTTAGGAATATAGAATTATCAAAACCGTGCATCTAAAACTTCACCCGGCGGCAAGCAATGTAAATTATTGAAAATTTCCATACATGTATATCGAATCAAATGTAGTAAGAACATTGACAAAGTTTTTTAAAAAAAAATTAAGTCGCTAACTTTAACGGTTATAGAAATATAAATTTTATCCGGGAGCCTTGAAATGCGCTCTGATGCTAAAAGCGGCTAGCGGCTACCATTCTGGAAATCATCTGCGTTAGCCTTACATATAGAAATAAAATTAAAAAATCTACATATAAATATAAAATAAGTAATTGAATCGTTTCTTATGAAATTTACTTTACCTAAATATTTCCTTCTACGTCATCCTCATATAAATCAGGAATATTGTTCTGACAAGTTTTGCAATCGCTGCAGCATTTTAAACCCTCTTTCAAGCAGACACATTTAATATTTTGACAATTTATCTTTGCAGAAGATGTTCATTAGTTGCCTTATATCCGTTGGTAAGGGATCAGCAGTCATCGAAACAGGCTCGAGATTTCCATTATTCCTAGTCCAACCAAAGTTAACAGGGTCAAGTATAGTCACAATAGGTATATGAGTAGACATCCATATATGCAGTTGATATATGCACCTGAAATTTTGGTTATCGCATAAATACAGCTTTTTTTGTTATATAAGTACACCTAGCTCAGTACATGCTGATATAATGCATCATCGGTCGGTGGAAGTTCTGATTCTTCTGAAGCGGACTTATTGGAAGTTTTGTGGTCAGTTGATACCTCAATTCATTGAGGGTTTTAATGGCCTCGTTCTTATTTCTGAATAGGGCTAATGCAAATTTGGTGGCAATATTAACAGCTTCGCTTGTAGACACGGAGTTCAGTTTTGATAACCCATTGAAGGCTCCAAGATTTTTTAGAAAATACATTTTTTGCCGATCTCAAACATTGCATTTGTGGTATCGCATCCTGTTGACACATGCAACGCTGGTAAACATTTACAAACTTCATTTTCCAGTTTCTGCACTATTTATTGGAATGATCCGTTTTTTATTCCCTTGTCCTAATTCCATAAAAAGATAGGTTTCTTCCAAAGAACTTACTTCAATAAATTCAGAATGGTGGTAAATAAGTAATACCAGAACATTTGTATCCACAGACTTCACCAACACTTTTTTTTGGTGAAGTATCTGATATTCATATAAGACGTGGATTATAAGTCGTGCATCAGCCTCATCATGATTCGATTTCAAATCTTTCAATCCACCTACACCATCCTTGTTGACAGAAAAGCATAACTCCGGATTTCCAAAACCACCAGCGATGATCAGAATTTCTTCTATTTGTCAGCTAAATGTTCCAAAATATAACCAGTTACAAATTTCAATAGGAATTCTTTATTTTCTGACAATTTAAAAAAATTCCGAAACTTCATCACTTTTCTCTTTCCAGAAACTTCATACGCATACGCATCTGCGAAGTTACTTCTTCTGCGTCTTTCCAAAGACTTGACCGATTCATCTATCAAAAACCACCGTTATGTGGTGCTTCATACCTTCGACCAAGTGAAAGAATTTGCTTCAGAAAAATAGATGCGAGTTCATTGAAAGTTAAGTTGAGAATTCTTTATCATTTAGTCCTTGAATAAGTACAATGCCATCTATTATAAGTGAATTGAAGGGGGTGTGACCCAAAATGAAGTTTTAGTGCGAAAAAATCTAAGAACAAATATTTGAACCGCATCTTGCTACGATGAACCGTTTTCGAGTAGGGGTGGTTTAAAGTGACAAACGCCTAGACTATGACGTCACACCGGCTTCGGAGGCACAGTTAAAATATGTGTAAAATTTTCCAAGACAAAAGTCAACGATCTCACTTAAAGCAAATTGCAACCACTTAAAGTATAGGGCACGGTTCAACCACTGAACAAACAGAAGGCTATGATTTCGGCGGTTAGCCGGAGTGACGTCACAAGTTCCCGCAAAATTAATCTTCATGAAGAATGTTCTCGGATAGTATTTTGAATAAAAGACTGCGGTTTTCACGAGAGATCTTAGATTTTTTTTCTTGATTTAAGTAGCTTAAGTTGCTTTTTTTGGTCACACCCACTTTAACATCAGTTCGAGGAGAAGCAACTGTTGAATATGGTTCAAACTTTGATACTAAATCAGACTTAACTGTTTTTCGCATACGAACGCACAAAACTGGAAAAGTCAGAAAATGCACCTCTCAGTGAATGCACGAACAATTCCGTCGCGACGCGGTTCACGATGGGCTGAGCGCACACCAGGGCTCTTGGATAAAAATTTATATTTCTATAACCGTTAAAGTTAGCGCCTTATTTTTTTTTTAATAACTTCGTCAATGTTTTTACTACATTTGATTCGATATATATGTATAGAAATTTTCAATAATTCATATTGCTCGCCGCAGGGTGAAGTTTTAGATGCACGATTTTGATAATTCTATATTCCTAACGTTTTAACAAAAAAACCTTGAACCTTTTCGAAATTCCTGAACTGTCATTAGAAGCGCTCATGTTTCAAGTATAAGTGTGCAAAAAATCAGAATTTTAGATTGTATGCCTAAATTAATACAGCGGGTAGTGTTTAGAAAAATGTAGTTTTTCAAATTTGAGCTCAGTCACGTTTAAGGGCCGATTTCAAAGTTCAGTCCTATTAAAAAAAGTTGTACATTTCCATTTCCTATGCCCCAAAGTGTCCTCTACAAGATGATATAGGTTTCATCTGGTTATACCTCGGAATCACCCACCCTCAGAAAACAGCGAGTTAGAGCAGTGATTTTATTCCACTAATGGGCTGAGCGCACTTCAGGGGCCCGATCCTCGGGCAGGGAGTAGAGCTCCCCGATAGAACGAATTTTTTTGTCCTTGTCAAAGTAATCGAAAAGTAAACAAGA